TCACACTGTGACGGTATTATCGGCGATATGCAACAGGTCTTGTTTTCGAAGTTCGCCATTGATTGTTATTCTCGGTTTAATTACGACCTCGTAGGCCAGATCTTTAAATTTGTCGCTGGCCATTGCCAGGAGCCGATTGTGTGTTAACTATATACCAGTGGGTGGAGGGGCACCCCTGACCGATGTGGGAGATGGATTCTACTCTTGGGCACTGAGCCCTACATCCACGGATGCCATGCCTCTGGCCCCGAGTGTTACACTCCCTGCACATTAGGGAGTTGGTGCTGAGGCGGCATAGGTTAATGTAATGCTTCCCAGTTGTGAAACGAGTTCCTACACTTAACCACGAATTCCCTGGTGAGCCTTCAATTTGGTCCAGTCCTCTCCCATTGACTGATGAGTGGAGCGAGTTCTTCCAATGGGAGATTTGGGAACGTCTTGTCGGGCTTTTGCCTAGATATTTCCGACACCTCAGTCTGATCGTTTTGTATTCGTTGTAACTGCAAAATGCTGTACATTCTGGAGTCTCATAGTCCCCTGTCGTTAGTGCGGGCAAAGAGACAAGAATTAGCCGTAGATGTTGGAAGGCGCAATGTCTTCTTGATAAAGCCCCGGATCTTACAATCCAGAGATTTGAGTAAACCCATTGTATATCTTCCTAGGGACAGTTGATGGAGAAGTCTAGGACTGCCAAAGATGCGCAGTAAAAAGATTTTTTGCTGCGGCTTGAGTGGCGCTTTACTTAGGTTTTGGAGCAGTGAGTAGAATGGTGTTAAGTTAGGTGTGGCTTTACCTTTAGCACCAAATAAAACACCTAGATATTTAAAGGTGTCGGAGATATTTACAACAGTTATTAGAGTCGCATTCAAATGGAAGGTTTAGTATCCTAGGATCTTGAGTCTCCTAGATTTCTTCTCGGATACTAGGGACATGGTCTGTCATTTTTCAGGTTTTAAGTTAAGATTTCTGGCTAAAAAGAATGATTCAGCAATTTGCAGTTGCTTCCTCATACCAATAGAGGATGACGAGAATAGTTCTACATCGTCAGCGAATCCAAGGGCTGAGAGTGGTATCAGCCAATTTTTCACCAATTGATGGTTCTAAGTTGGAAAACAGCTCATCGATGACAATGTTAAATAGTAGGGGTGATAGGGGATCACCCTGTTTGACACCCCTGTTCACCTCAATATTCTCCAATGTGACAGGTCTACATGATATGGTTGTTAGGCAATCTTGATAGCTGGACCGGATATATTGAATAGACATTTGATCAAGGCCAAAGGCATTGGAGGGGTTCGGAGGGACTTTCTAAGCAGGTAGAAAGTATCTGATGTAGTTTTGGGGAGATGTCTGTTTCTAGGAGGTCCGTTAGAGAGTTAAGGAAGGGATTAGTAGATTCCGGTGGGGGGAATAAATTGTGAGGTATGATTGTGGGGTGCGGGTGGGGTGGTGGCAGAGGGGGAAGATGTAGGATGATGTAATATCATTGATTGTCGTTTTGTAGCCAGCTTGCCTCCTCTTGCCAATTAATGGCTTCTATAGAGCGTTGGGGAAAGAGGGCGTGATGGGCTTCATTTATATTAGATGTGGTGCTAAGGGTGGACTCTGCTCTAGCGAGAAGTGTTTCCTCCTGAGACCATCGTAGTTTGTGATGTGTAATGTCAATTTCCGCATTGAATTCGGCAAGGTGAGCATTCTTCCGGTGAAGGCCTAAACCGGTCTTGGTAGTGAAAGGTCTATCACATTCAGAGCAGAGATAGGAAATCAGTAGAGGTGAACAGGGTGGCTCACTGGTTTCTTTCATAGGATTGTTACATCGTCGGTAGTGATTAGAAACTCTGTATATGGAAGGAAAGGTATTTAGGCATGTTTTACATTTATAGATGATGGTTAGGCCATGTCTTTTGGCATCTTTCTTAAAGGTGATATGATTTAGAAAGCTCTTGTGACAGATATTACAAGGGTGTTCGGATTCCCCATAAGGAAAGGCGGTCCCTTTTCCTTCGGGATCGTACCCTACATAATATTCCTCTCCGGGATCCCCGTCATCTTGACTTAAGGATTCCGCAAACACCATCCGAGGCTTTTCATTAGTTTTGGGAGCAGGAAATTTAATGGGCAGTGGGTTGCTAGCCCAAGGCAGACTTGGTTCGCCAAATGACAAAACAAAGATTAAAGTCAGTGACTTGCAGGAGAGAGACTATATATTCCGCTTCATCCTACCAGAAGTGGGGGGGGAGAAGGGTAGGGATAATTCCTGGCGCTTTGGGGGGCGGGTGCCATTCCAACTCACGAGGGAACATTAGCATACCTAACCTCACACGATATAGGCAGAGGCATCCTTTGTTCTCCCACATCGAAAGTAGGCGCCTCCATTCTTCACGCCGAAAACTAGGAGCAACACGAATCCCGCGATTGACACTAGTCGCGCACAAGGATGCCACGGAATAATTCATAGCCTGCATTGACTTGGATGGTCAATACAGTTTCCAACTCTCGCCACGGGGAGGCGTCTCCTCAAGAGAGTCATAGTTACTCCCGCCGTTTACCCGCGCTTAAATAAATTCCTTCACTTTGCCTGGTGCTCTGGAAGTCAGAGTTCACGTCTCACGCCGCTCTCTGCTACGCCAGAGTAAGTAAAGAAACTATGAAAGTGGTGGTATTTCACTGTTGAACCGAAGTTCTCCCACTTATGCTACACCTCATGTCTATTCACAAAGCCAGACGAGTCAAGCTCAACAGGGTCTTCTTTCCCCGCTGATTTTTCCAAGCCCGTTCTCTTGGCTGTGGTTTCGCTAGACAGTAGATAGGGACAGTGGGAATCTCGTTTATCCATTCATGCACGTCACTAATTAGATGACGAGGCATTTGGATTTTTTTTCCCCTCACGAGATTTTCCTACAGGGATCCACCAGCTACTGCTTAGCCAGAAAACACTGCTTTAGGGAGGTTTCTGTCTTCGACCCGAGCACCACCATGATTACAAGCGAGGAATGTGGTATTATATATATCACAGATAGAATGGGTTTCTGTAGATATGCGCATCTGCCGTGTCAGGGCTTCATACCATTGAATTCCATTTCCTTTTTGTTGATTTTTTATAGTCTCCAGGATTCATGAACTCGAGAGTTCGTACTGTCATAGTTTTCAGGTCTTTTTTGGTTATTCCAAGCTGTTGAAGGTCTTCCGCTGATGTTTTTGCCATGCACCCTCTCCAGTTCAATGTGGCTGTTGTGAAGGTTACCTTCTGGACTTTAATTTCATTTTTTATCCAAGTTTTGTATTGATTGGGGTTTGGATCGTGTGGCGAGTTAGGCCACTTTCACGAGCGGCCTGGCGTGTTGGCTTTTTGGGACTTCGGATGAACATATCCTGCACCACTTGCACATTTTCTTCCGACCTGGATGTCGAGGGACGACCACTTTTGCGAGTATCTACCACAGATCCCGTATTCATCAGCTTGGAATGGCAGTTCCTGATGGTCTTGGCATCCATTGAAGCACGAGGTCCGTGAACATTCCGCCACCATCTCTGCACCTGTACCACGGACTGCCACACTTCGTAACGGGAGGCCAGCTGAGATCGCTCACGCAATGTCAGGCAACAGGCCATTATGGGCTGCTCTCGTCATTGTGAGATGAAGTCAGAGGTCATCAATTAAATTCTACCACTGTAAGGATCACAATACATTTTGTTTCGTGCAAATGCAGTACTATTTACAAAAGTTATAAGCAATTTTCAATAGGGAGTTACTTTTCAACCACCCTGTAGAAGAAAGAATCATTGTACAACTTCCCCAACCCCCCTCCCCCTAAGGGATGTTCACACCTCGATATATGGGATCCCATAAGGATGGCTTATTTTTGAAACGCAAGGATACTGTCGGTTGGGTCGTTACCATCCCGTATCCATATATTCGTATATGTTTCACTCATACGCTTGCACGCAAAGTGATGGAGATGGTCGTTGCGGACGAAGCGGATTGAGTCGTAATCAATTGAGAAAAGTGCCGATTAATGTAAGGGGGAAGATCTCACCCCGGCGAGGAAGTCATCCTCCCTTCAGCGGGATGAAAGGGGACTCCAAGGGTCGTACGTGGGGACAAGTAAAGAATGGGAAAGGGGTTGTTGCCTATAGCGATTAGAGGGCCACTGAGTTTTAGGGCCGCCGAATAAACTCGTGATTTCTAGCCGAAGAGTTCGTGGAAGTCTTCCATGGATCAGGACCAATTGATCCTGTGAAAGATGTTTCAGAGGTAATATTTTCGTTTTGTGATAAGGGAGTGCTACTCCTAACCACATCTGTTTGATAAATGCTGACTCCAGCATCTGTCAAAAGTGCAGGAAAACAACCGATCCTATAGATGTCAGTTATTTTTATGATGCTCCATGTTTAAGCAATGACAGAAATCGTCTTTCTCCTTTTTTGCACCTTTCATGGAGCTATCTTCATCCTCTTTTCCCTTCCACCTGATGTCTACATCAGAGGAGAAAAAAGTGTTATAGGGCATTCCTCATGTCATACCACTTCTTCGGGGAAATAACTCCCATTTTCCGCCAATTGTAATGAAATTCCCATCCTCGAGTCCCACATTGGTCGCTCCCATCTGGTTCCATAATGTGAATCTCTGCTTTAGTTGTTAATGGAATCCATGTGACCATGAAGCATTTACGATGGTCAACGAGTGAACTCCTTACCGTCATGATTGCGCAACAAATAATGACGAAGAAGCCATTAGCGGATCGGGAACTAGCTTTCCCTATGCCCCTCACTTGCAGTCCTACTTCAGGAATACAAGGAAAGATGATAGGCAGGTATTTGTCCATGGAGGGAAAATCCCCTCATGCACGGTCTCGGATAAGTTCCCAAGTTCGCGCTTATCGTACGGATATCTATGGTCAAATTTCCTCTGCATATCTGTTTACCGACTACCGATAACATAGTTTGCCTTGTCATAGTATATTTATGTAATTTCGAATGTTCTAACCTGTCCTTCTCGTGGCTGAGTGGACAAACGATAGGGAATTCACTTCTTCATTCCAGTCCGGTCAATTTACCCGGATTTTGTACTGTCATCCTAAGAGGGAGTCTTCCTGATCAAGATCTGGTCGGCCTACGAAAGAAAACCAGCAGGCGTGCTGTTGCGAGGGTTAGTCACATCTCTACTTATTATGCCTATGACCCACTGGCAATTACTAGTTAAAAATAATATCAGTGAATATGGTACTCGAGGTGATTAAAAATTTTGCTGACAAAGGAATGTGATTAGAGTAAAACGGGAAAGAGACGTGGAAGAGATATCAATTGCCTAGATCTGTGGGTAACGCGTTGCCTTTGTCATTAGACAAAGTTAAAGTGCTACCAGGGAAAAGGATCTGAAAACGAGAAAGACATGATTTTATTGCGTTTCTGCCCACTCCAGTTCTGTTCCTTGACACCAATACCTTTCTTCTTTGAATTTTTAGAAGCACCCGACGGCTTCAGCCCCGGCTGCTCAATCGCCGTATTATAACTGCGGCAGACTGATATTGTCGAATCGAAGTTCACTAGTCTTCGTCGACTGTAGTTTCCGTAAGAGCAATTCTATAGATAAATATTTAAGGATACGCATCGCGAGAATCGTAGTAGAAGCGATATATCCGAATATCTTCATTGTCTCGCGGGACTCATTGTGTCTTCTAGCCCGAAACGAAATTCGAAATATGTAATCTCAATTCACCCTTAGTCCTATTGTGTTCACGCCCTGCGAAGCTGCTTCGTCATCGATTGGAATTCTTTCACACTTTTGACGCACCACTCATTCGGATCAATTTTTTCGCAACTGCTTATCACAATGTCTAAGTATCCAGAAAGATGAAAAAAGAACTTCTAAAATAATTTTCGCATAGGAAAAACTCAGCAGAACTTTGTAGTTTCACGGCTTAATAGTGCGCTTGGATATCTGGGAATAACGCAATAAATCACTGAGCACGTGTTCCGTTCACTCGCTTCAAAAATGAGTTTCACATAATTGTTGAAGTTAAAGGACTTTCGTCATTGGAAAGCCGTCGTACGATTGAGCACAGACAACCCTGTTGAGAAGGATATCGAATTTCCAGATCTTTTCCCCTTGAGAGCTGTTCTACCTTAAAGCATAATATTATTTATGCTAATTTTGCGAACTTCAGTGTGGGAAAATGTAGAAATGGTAAATTTCATAGGCAAGTACTTCTCTGGGTATTAGTTTAAATGCTAGTTATATATTCTTGCTTTATCCCCTCGGGTCAACTATTTGGATGTAGACGAATGATCTGAAATTACATAATATTACCAACATTTGGTTGTGCGGAATCACACCCAGCCCAAAGTAACTTTGACCCAAGGAATTTCAAGGCATTAGTAGTCGCAAGCTCTGCAAATGAATGCTTTCACGCTGAAGGCGCTTCCATAGCGAGTTAGTTTGCTCTTCGTCCAATTAACTCGCTAGTTTCTATATATGTCTCTAAAAGTTAATAGCAAAAATGACAAATTACACAACACCACTTCAGCCATAACGCGATAGCCAATTTTTTGTTTTCATCTGCAGGTGAGTTGAGTTATTTTTGGCAACCCTCCCAGATGGATGTGCACTCTCAAAGGCGTTCAACATTTTATAGGAATTCTCCGCAAGTTCTGGCAATGCTTAACAGCTATTGAAGAATTACTCACCAAACTTTCATTTCATTTTATTCACTGAGAACAAACTTTCATTTAGCTTCTTGAGGTAGATTTGTTACGAGTGCCAATTTCGGAAACATTCATGATGAAGGGGAATGTTTCCACACTTCATGCACGGAAAGCGGGTATAGCGTCTTGTTGACGATTTCGTTAGTGGAATGCGTGTAAGAATATGGATCTGAGAAGATGTTAGTTCCCTCTTTCTCGTTATTGTACCAGGGCTGGGCAAGAGAATTTCCTTTCCCCTTGTAATTTTCAATCATCTCTCGGACGAGTTCAGGGCGGAAATTTAATATTGCCCTTTGCTCATATGAGTCGAGCTTATCTTGTATGCCTAGACTGCACATGCCTGTCATGTTGCCAAAAGAACTAGTGGTGCTACTTCTTTGTCTACCTGGTGCATGGATAACTATTCTCTATCTGTTCCGACACATATACCCCATCTATATTCATGTTATTATCCAGCACTACATATGGTTTTCTATGTTGTCCTGTTCTTCCCAGTTTAAATAACAGTTGAACAACCATGAAAATTGCTCAACATGTATACATCCCTCTTCTCTTTCCGTTTGAGCGCCATCAGCGAACCACAGCGTTTTGTGATTACGTCACATCATTTAAGCTTTTTTTTCTTTGTCTTTGTGCATGCCCTTTCTTCCTACTAGCACCGTTTCACAAGCATTGAAACCAATGTCAATTTCTTGAGTAGGCTCGGGCTGAAGTAAAATATGTCTATATGAATTGCTTTCCCTTTCTTCTAAATTCTGGTGTGTCCAAGAGGTCTAGGACTGCCTTTTCACTGACAGATTGGATGGCTCATGACTTTGTAGGCCAGTGTAGACATTGAAGACAGTGTAGCCTCTAGCCTTGCCTTCGGTCTGACACAATTCATAGGACTTGATTCTCCACTTTGCTGCCTCGTTTGGTATGTACTGTTTCCAATGCAAACGTCCATTGTACGGCATGAGTGACTCAGTAGCATCCAGGTCATCTTCAGGCTCTTAGATGCTTCTAAATGTATTCTTCTAATGATCAAGTCCTGGTCTGATTTAATGCAGTTCATCTCCAGTAACTTGGTGTTCCTCCACTTCTCAGACAATGGGAAACAAGAGGAAAAATATATATTTATGGACGTGATCTTCCAAATGAGGGTGTACTCAAAGTCCATCTTCTGTTCAATACATGTAATGATGGGTTTCTTGATAATGTCGGGGAGTAAAGTTACAGCCATGGGAATTTTTGTTTCGTGCCAGCTTCTGAGCCGGGAACGTTCTGAAATGTTTGCCGAAAACAGACAATGAAAGGCATATTCCTTCGTTTTGCCGCAATCTGTTGGATATCATACTTTCCCCAATACTTAATCTATGCAATCCCTCACTGTTTTCCATCCTACAGGTTCTTTCCTTCCAGTGCCCAGGACTTCCGCGAAATACAGTACTTATTATTCGGTTTTATTCGGTTTCAGTTGCTGTGTACTGCATGGGAATGGGGATGAAATTCCATCTGGCCATTTTCGTTTTCTACCTGCTTCTGGTGAGCCGTTCGATCCGCTGCTTTGCTTGGTATCCTTCTTCCCGAAGAGGAGCAAAGATCAATTGACTTTCGTTTCATAGCGCTTACGGGTGGAAGGGGTACCCAGGAGCATGGAAATCCTGGTGAATGGGGCTAAGAGGCTGCAACAACTGGCTCCAGCAGTGGGAGGAAGTTCTAACGAGGTCTCTGACGAGAACAGCCTAATAGAGGTACAATATCCTACACGAGATCCATCATACCATATCATCGAAGGTATGAATCCGTTCATAATATGAAACTGACGAAGAAAACTATGCAGAAAATGACTTTGGCGAAAGATTTGGAGGATGAAGAGAGTGAAGAAAAGCGAAGCAAGACGCAAACGTTTGAGTCTGGTACCTTTCCTCGCTCTGGAATCGACGGGAATCTCGTGATCGACCGAGAACTCGTACAGGATTCGTTGAACATGTTTAGGTGGGTCTACTGTATAGCTCTCCTCCTGGGTAGACTCAGCTCCTCTATTAGGATTCTCTGAGTGACACCTGCAGCTTCAACGGCCATGAAATGTTGCTGTTAAGACACTTGTCAGTTTGGACTATGCTGGGTCATTTCATTTAAAATCGGCAAATCCGTTGACCTGAACTCCTTCGATTTTCATGAAATTTTTACATTTGAGGAAATATCAGGAAATTAATCCATGCTAATATTCAGCTACCCAGATGAAGTTCATATTAGAAAATTGCAATTTGTATTATTACAGAAATTCGTTTCAGCCTTAGGTGCTTTATGTTTTGTGCTGGTTTTCAAAAGGAATTTAAATTTCGTTTTCAAATTTTCAAAATAGAGATTCTCATCCATCAATATATTTAAAAAAAATCAAATTATAGTTTTTTCCCTAGCAAGTTCAATAGTTCATTAGCGGAGGTAACCTCAACGAGAATGCTGATATCATCATTGTTTATGCTATGCAAGTAGAGGAGAAAATGAACTAGCAGAGACATCCTCGAGAGGCTCACACTTGCTGCAAGAACATCCACTCTTAAGCCAGGGGCTGGAACCGTCGAATCGCTGCAACTCTACTCTTCCCTGGCTCGGGAAGATGACAAAGGGGATCGACATCACGGAACTGGACCTGACTCCTTTTGACTTCGTCTTGCCTGATGGCTTCAAGCTCCCTCTCTTCGATTTCACATGCGAACAAGGCAACAAGATCGTCATGAACAAGGTAAACTGGAAAATGAGAAAATTTTCAGGAGACATAGCTGATATCTTTATTTCATAAACAGCGCTAAAATAAGCATGATCAAGGAAGAGTAGAGCCATCTGGATGAAACATCATCTGGTTTCAATATGTTGTACGTTCTTATTGGTGTAATATGAAATCGATTTAAATACCTATGGCTTGTTATGAATATGCCCAGAAGAAATTTACCAAAACACTCCGATTGCGATATCGGCTACAGAGTCGCAGTAATTTCCTGATACCATCACCGAGACGGTTCTTTTCAACGAAACAGGCAAAACATTTTCCAAGACCGGCATTAAAAATTCAACGTTTCGAGGAGTTGAGGTATCGGAGCGAAAACTTGCCATATAGTCTACTTTCTTCTTTATCTCCTTCAAACCCTCTTAGCTCTACGGTTGTTTTCGAGCATCTAACTGCGAGACTGGGGCTAGGCGGATTGGTGGAAATCACAGTTTCGAGCGATCACTGTCATATTTATGCCAATATTGGAGTGAGAGCGTTCTGCAAATTGTCTTCGCGGATACCTCATGCGCCTCGCAAGATGTACGAGGGGTGTTCTATGTATACCAGGACTTTTGTCTATACAAGTAACGTAAGTAGATTAATAATTTTTGGGAGGAATTTGTCTTCAGAGTGTTGTTAACCAATAATCGCGTGTTTCCTGCTTTAATGCATGTACTGAATATCAAGATGGTCCAAATGGGGTAACAGAGTGGGCAGCGAATACGATGGTGGTTCAAATTTTGCCTGGTGATGATTGCCTGTAAGGAGAAACTCTTCCGTCAGTCAAAATGAGATCCTTAAGTCGCTTCATATTCGCGTTGTTGAATGACGTGGCTGGTCTTGCTGGGTGTGTTTAATTCTGTACTCTTTCACACTCATATTTAAATGATTTGCACTAGTCAAATATGGATGTCCTTCACAGGCTGTCATCACCATACTGTGGAGCGAATTGTCTATACATTTCAAAAGGTTGGATATATTTGTTGACCAGAAATTTCATATTGATTTCTTCTTCCACCTTCTCTGTTACCTCAACTGCCGCCATCTTGATTTTCAGCACATGTATTGAAGCAGGAATCGCGCTATTATGGCTATGAGTTAACAGCACTCTGAAGAAAAATTCCTCCAAAATGATTAATCTGCATACTTTACTCTGCCTTGTATAAACAAAAGTCATGGTATACATTGAACACCCCTCGTATAACAAGATGAACGCATAAATTGAGTGCAGGGAAATAATTACTTTCATGTAAACTAGATTATGAAAAGCAGGGAGCACTAAATCCAAAACTAATGATTGACCTGATGATGTGTAGGTTTCCCTTTTTTGCAACGAATACATACGTCCTTCATTATGAATATTCCCCTCAGACCGAGTACCAGCTACCAGACCAGATATGGGCTATGACACCTGTTCCAGGAGGCTGGTTCTCATCCAATGTGGAGATCTTCAAATCCTATCAGGAAGTGAAGCGCTCCAGGTCGACGGACGTTGGGGTCAAGGGAGGATTTTTGTGGTTTAGTTTCTCTGCCAGTCGCTCCTATATGTACATGCAGAACACAATCACCAACAACTCCCGTTATATTGAAGAGGTTTCTGCCTTCGAAACGGCCGTACGAGCTGACCTTCACCCAAGTTGGATTGTCCAGATGAGCAAAATGATAGACGTGTTCGTTGAAGGCCGGCTTAAGAAAAATTTTACCGAAGATCCGGGTGCATACGAGGAATTCATAGATAACTTTGGCACCCACTATTTCAAGACTGCATGTTTTGGAGGATTCATCAAGCTACTGCTGGAGACCAAATCAGAATACTTTAAGAACGTAACGGACGAACAAGTGAAGGCCCAGGCTGGCGCTTCTTTCCTGAAACTTTTATCCCTGAAGGGAAGTATATTCGATGATACGACGAAACTCGACGAGAGATTTGAACGGATGACACGAAAGACAATCAGGTCGGTACGCCAAAATTCCCTTTGAATACACCTTCGTCTGAGAAAGTTTTGGAAATTTTTTTCCCTCGCACGTTGCATTCAGACTTCAATATGAAGAAAAATCCCGTGAACATATCCATTCACACTTTCATAGTACAACGCGGAAAATCATTTTCTTCAAGCGAGAAACCTAGAAGTTTCAGAGAATACATCCCCATCTATCCTCCGCACCACCCAAAAAAGTTAAAAGCAATCATTTCCGTAACGACGTATTCAGAGAATTTCAGATTTCTGTCGCGTGTAGTCACTTCGGCAGAGCTAAAATGTGCTGCTTCAAATGTACTCATTATTAGAGTACATTTGAAGTGGCACATTCAGCAGGATTGTCTCCAAACTAATCGAGCCATTTACGCAGAATTAAAAAATCATGCCTGCTTTCATGCAAACAATTTGCTTGAAATCATCATCATTCACTCCCTCAAGATTAATGATCGTTCAGATACATGTAAGTGATACTACGAGGTGCAGTCAGGAAGTCCGTACCGCACACTTCTAGCATACGTTTCTGGAATTGGTTGGAATAGATTATGGTTGGACAAGGTATTATGATCAGTTGTGAGTCAGACAGCATGTTGTGAACATTGTTGGCATTCTTGTTTATGTGCAGAATTGGTTTTTCGACACAGTTTCCCCCACTGTCCCTGAGCAATGGAGTTCGCGGAGGAAGAACTGTTCAGTTGTGTGTGATCCGTCAGGCCCCTTCCAATGAGAAAGTTCTTTAGATTATTTTTCTGGACAAACAGGGTTTAGTTCTACCTCATGTAGTTCCTAAAGGTGCAACCAATAAAGGAAGCCGCTACAAACATGTCTTATAAACTGAGCTTTTAGCAGCAGTAAAAAAATTGCGTCCGATGAAGGCCTGGACAATGCACCACCACGCAAGGCAGTTGTTGTAAGGGAGGTTTCTTTTTTTTTAGAAAATGGTATCAAGGCCTTGCCCCATCCCTTGTACTCACCGGACCTAGCACCCAACGACCTTTGGGTGTCCTCAGAACTCGAGGATTCGTTACAGAGTAAGATGTATGACTCCCGACAAGCCTGTGGTACTGCAGTTTACCAGTGGTTTAAACTTACACCTGAGGAAGCATATGCCAAGTTCTTCACTGACTGGCAACGAAGGTGGAATCTGTGTGTAGGTAAAGCAGGTGATTATGTTAAGAAGTGACCGCAGTTTCTATTCAGAACTCCTGACTGTTAATGAGATATGGCTCGACGATATGGACTTTCTGACTGCACCTCGGACGTTCAGCAAACATAGGTGGCCATTCTGCCTGAGATCAAATTATTTTATGGTGAATAAACATAAAATAAATTTTAATATTGACATTTTCAGATGGAGCATTTCCTTTTGCTTTTACTTTCCATCATATATTATTTGCAATGTAGGATGATGAATTGCATTGGCCTTGTCTCCGTATTAAAAAATCAGTGTAGTATCAATACATATTTTGAAGAAAGAGGTATATGCTTTATTTCAGGTATTACGGCGGAGATGTGAAATTCAATTCCACCAATAACACTCTCCAGGATTGGCAGCCGACAGTTTCGAAAAAGCCTTGGCTCTTTTCTGGTGAGCTGGAGCCCATTAGCGACCTTCTTCAGGAGGAAAATAAGAGGAGGTCCATGGAACAGGCCGTGATGAACCACGTTCTGCATGCATACGTGGAGGAACTTGCCAGAATCGTGAAGGCGGTTCCACCGCATTGGCCTGTTGGACTCAAGAAACTCATGTCCTTGCAAGATGAGATCGCCTCTCTTCAAAGCACTCGCATCCTGGAAGAGACAAAGGTGAAACAAGTCGCAGCGGCGGTGGAAGACCAAGTGGACATTCCTGCTTGGTTCACGCGGTGGGTGCGATTGTGCTTCCGTTGGGAATCAAATGGGCCAGGCGAGTGTTACGCAGATGGGGGAGTCCAACAACTTTGCGCCAATCCTGGTATGATGACTGCTAATTTTACGGATTACACCAGGAGCGGTAACGGATGCAATATGACCTGGGGAATCCTATCCGAATTCGAACCGGACTGGTTTAAAGTAGTCCAGTTCTGCTTCCGTTGGTCCATTTGTGGTAGTGGGAGCATCTGGCAGACCTGTGGGAGAGACATCGATCCACCCATATGCGCGCCAGTAAATAATTGGACCAAAATCTATCTAGACAACTCAAGTTCTTTAAAGACAGTTCGGGTTTCGTGGAGTCTGCTCGTCCCCAGCACTGCCCCCGTCTGGCTTCGCAACATCAAACTCTGCTTCCGTGGTTACAAGGATCCAATGGGTAATGTTAACCGTGAAGCATGCGCCATTGCCAACGAGTGGACTCCCTATCGTCACGACTTAAGTTCTTCAAGTGCTGCCTTCACTTTGAATTGGAGTCTTAAACTGGAATAAACCGTTGGATTTGCTCCATCAACTGATCTCTATTATCTGTGGAACCCCAAGTTGGCACTGGCTAGAAATAATATGTATGTCCCTGATTGTTTTTCGCGAAAGAATTCCACCTCACAAATTTGAGTCATGTTGAGCGGCATTTGCCTCTCCAATACTTAAGGCTTCTACACGGGAAAAAAGTACCATTCCGTGACCTCTTGGTAAGTACAAAAGTACCAGGGCTGGCCAATGCTGCTTTAAAATGATCGTAATTCAATTCAAATCAAATTATCAAAATAATAATAATGTAATTCGCGTGCCTACATCAGGACGCCACATTTACACTTTCCTATTACAGCGTTCAAGTTGTCTTTTAGTCCTTGTTTTAGCGAAGAATGCCAAAGGAAGTCCGTGGGTGCCTCCATTGCAATTTGCATTCGGCGTTCATCAATGAGCAAAATATCAAAGATTTGTATCAAAAGTAGGAACAAAGGACCATTTTGGTGGGTACTTTTGAAATGCAATCCTGAGATTCTCAACATTCCGTTTAAACTTAGTTAATAGCAACCTTACATCGAGAGTGTAAGACTGTCAAGATCGAAGTCAAAGGGATTGTAGATGAACATCACGATAACTGAATTTAGCGTTCTCTTCAATAATTTTGATTGTGGGTTAACACATTGCATACCGGACATTTTGCCTCGTCGATCCGCCGCTCTGACCTAAGCCTCAGTCACCTTAACCTAAAGCTCGATGCCTACGAAGCATAAAGCTTTAGGTTAAGACTTCTTCAGCCATAGGCTAGGCAAAAGGTCTCGCGAAAGGACTCAAAAACGGAGATCTCCGTGAGCGGTACGCAAAGTGTTAAGTTGTTACGTGTCTCCCAACGAAAAATATATTGTATTCAATTTTTTTAAGAAATAAATAATAGTACGAAGGAACTTAAATGAGGTGAACTATAAGAAGACACTACACTTTGTAACAGCGCTTATATTTTCAGGCCATCTACGAGGGTATTTCAAAAAGTAAGGGTAATTTCTTACCCGGCCGAAACCTGTTGATGGCAAGGCTTTGTTCCTTCACATGAACATGTTGCACGCTCCAACTAGACTGCCATGTAGTACTTGGCAACATGCACGACTGGCGGCAGCGCTGGACCCACTTCTGAATTAGTGGTTTCCATTAGCGTTTGCACCAGGTTTCAGCAGCTGGCAGTGAATCGCTTTCAGCTCAGACAGCATTGCAGCCGTGAATCCGGGTAACAATGTAGGGAATCGTCTCGTTGGCATCAGCCAACCAGCCGATCGACCAGGGTGGCTCCATTGACGGCCCCCAATACGCTATCCGACGGGGCTGGGTCGTCTGTCCACGTCGGTTTCAACAGACACGAGTTCTTGCGGACGTGCGACGTGAGTTCCTCCATATCTCCCACCAACTTCAGTTTGTCATGTTTGCATCGTTATCCTTGTTCCACCCGAAGGAACAATGGAGGCATTAACCGCAAAGATGATTAGACGCTTCACTCTATCGGGGTCCTCACTCGAGATGGCCTTGCGTGAAGCATCGAGAAATCGGAGCGCGTGTCCCTTGGACGTATGCAGGGAAGCCCCGAAAGTCGCATGAGACCATCGTAACAGCAATGAGAGAGAAAGCTTGGTTTGTCTCTCGAGCCAATCAGATGCAAACTCCGACCTCCAGGATGAGGACCTGGTTTCCCAAAACGTGATGGGGTCTGGTTCATTGGCTATCATGAATAAAATTGGCTGTCATGGTCTCTCATCACCGAAATATAAATCTAAGAATTCAACACGCGAAGAACTTCACGGTAGTGGCTTTTTCAGTGAACTTATGCACCACCAGATAATGAATTTAATTCTCATGCGTTGTGTTCATTGAATGAACTAAAGGCCAAGATCAAAACTATGACCGCGGCAGCATGCCTACGTCGGGCCAACGTTTGGACAATGGTGAAATTCAACATTTGCGATGTGGGCCCAACGTTGGTCCCTCGTAGGCTTGTCTCGTGGCCCTCGGCCAACGTCAAATACCGAAGTGCGCCATGACATTCCGGAGATTAAAGGAGGTTTCGATTGAGATTGAATTTCCGTTCGTAATTGTTGAGCTCCTCTACCGGGGACCTTTCCACCGAGTCTCTCTCGGTCTGGCTGGAAGGAAGCCTATAGGGAATAGTGCTTCCTCCGATAGTCATCTTTTGAGGCCATCACTTTCCATTACAGGATTTGAGACCCACTAAGCCCTTCATCCGCCATGGAAGTGCCTGTCTGGCAAGACTCGGATGATCATATATTTAACCACACCCGGACCTCCCCGAGGGGAACCAGATGCAGCCTTTACAATCAAAACACTGAAATCGATGTACGCTTGTTTTCTGCCCAGAACTGTCTGCAAAAATATGACCTAAATAGAACAATATTTATAATTAACGGAAAGTGCGTGAAAAAGGCAAACGAATCCTGGAAAACTGTACACCAAAACTAAAAATTGACATTAAAGAAAATGAATGAATGCCCGCATTTTTCTTGCATCGCCTGCCACATGAACGTAGCCTGTATTTGGCATGCTCGAGTCATTATTTTCAAAATGTGCAAATTCAGATGCAGAAAATCGCGAATGTAGTAGCTGTATCCTATCAGTTACTCTAGATCGATGCTTTTTGACATAAGGATTCATAGTGGCGTGAGGAAACTCTTTTTGTGGCCAGCTCTTGGGGTCGTCATTGAGCCGATATCATTTCCAAAACTAGATGGTTTTTCTTGCGAATGATGGATTCGTGGGATGCACATAAATTATAGCGACACATTTAAGAAGCACAATGATTCATTTTAAAGCCGAACCACATCCCGAGTTTCAATTTTCATCATGAATCTTCAATATGATTGAAATCGTGATTTTCTTATTATTATTAAAGATCCTATATTGTGATTTCTTGACTCGATGTGATTAGAGACCTTAGCTTTGCCCCCATTCTAAAAATATGCGAGCTGAGGAGAGAGTTTCTTTGAAGAGATTCAATTGACTGAAGGGAATAAGTAAAAACAAATTATTGTAACTCCTTGAAGAGCACCTTTCAATTAGCTCAATTAGCATGATCGGGAAATCTGGATATTTATTTGGTTGCAGATTGCGGTGAATCATAAAAACGGGAAATTCCTTTCTGCTGTTTGTTGCTGATAATGTAATCGCTGAAGGAAGAGGAATCTAATCATGAGGATTTTCATGTTGAAGGACGCATTGACCATGTTTTTTCATTGAGTATAACTTTCCCATGTTCATGGATTCTTCATGCGAAATTTCAGGCTACAAACTCTATTTGTTTCAAGATGATAAATATTTACAATGGTCCAATGAATAAAAAAAATCACCCTGTATAATTCCCCTTCTACATCCATGTACAGTGTCTCTAATAATTTCCCAAAATGCAAAAAGCAGATGATTCCTCTTACACCTCCTAATACCTGTCGTGCACACCCGTGTGACCTTTCTCCACGCGGTTTCTCCACAAAAACTGAACTTGCAAAAGAGCCCATCCTTAGGAATTTAACGATAATATTGCTGTTTCACGCTCTAAAGTCAGATGGTCGGAGAAAGAAATGTGGCTCCTTGCGCTGACCGCGATCGCTCTAGGGAACTCCATCCCTAATAATAAGGAACTACTCCATCATCGTTTTCCCTCCCGTACTCTAGAAGCCATTAAAAGTATCATTTCGAATTTCATTTCGAATCAAGGCTAATAAAGGGTAATTTCATAAAAGGAGAGAACCGGCTTACTCCTTGCTCCTATTCTCAACCCTCCATCTGCATCGTCCGACATCTCAAGTGCTTCACCATCTACCCATGAGAATGTTAAAATTCTATCCTTCACTTTAATTGCGCCTGTGGGGCTGACTTCCTCGGATGTGGTAGCCGCTTCTCAGGCTCCCTCTCCGGCGTCGAACCCTGATTCTCCATTCACCCGTTATCACCATGGTAGGCGCATAACCTACCATCAAGTTGATAAGGCAGACATTTGAACGATAGGTCGCCCGTGCCAGGACCGTGCGATCCGTCCAATTTCCCATAGTCACCAGAGAGTTCTGGGGCACGAGTCCCGTCTAGTTTTAATCTAATAAAAATGCCCCTTCCCACCTAAGGGTCGGGGCTTCTTGTCATGTATTAGCTCTGATTTAACATCCAAGTAAAACGTCGGAGATCTAGGGAACCATAACTGATGTAATAAGCCGTTCGCAGTCTCACATTATTTCGGCACGTGCCACCTGCAAGGTTTAATATTTGAGACAAGCATATGACTATTGGCAGGATGAACCAGGTACACTCTTAGAAAAAGGGGAGCGATTTTTCTCAAAAAAGAGAGTAAAATTGGGGGGGCAAGCGCCCCCCCTTGCCCCTTACACTCTTAGAAAAAGGGGAGCGATTTTTCACAAAAATGAGAGTGAAATAGCTAACTCCAGTTTCACCCCCCTTTCACTCTGGGAATGGAGCGAATTTACTACATCACCAAGGAGTAAAATTGCTCTCCTCTGTGAGTAAAAACGCTCCCCTCAGAAAGTGATAGGGATGTCATGCAAATAAGAAATTCTCACACATGTTGTGTGGCTTTCGCATAGGCGTTGACCTATCTCTGTACTGATTACAGTACACGTCAGAGGTTGGATCACCTCTTATAGGTTCTGTGGAGTATCCACGATATCAGTCCCTTATTACCTTATTTCATCGAGGTCTGACTGAATGAAGTTCACGGACACTCTTTGTATATTATAGGTCTCCTATGCGGATAAAATCATACGCGTTCCAAAAGGGTTCTCAATAGGAATATGAGCTTGTTTATGGCATGGACTCTATGAATATGTCTTGAATATGCGGATAATAACTGATGAAGTGTCCGTGTTTATTGATTCCTATAATGCGACTAGGCGAGACATATGGCAAGGTAATAAACAATCCTGCGAGTGACGATTCCTGGGAAAGAGGTGCGAAAAGCGAGACCCTTACCGCCATCTAGGGGCCTGGCGAAGAACTTCAAGGTGTTCACTTCAATACGAGCGATGAGGGAGCATTTGTTGAGTAATAAGAGAGTAAATTCGAAAAGCTCACGGTGTGCTCACTTCTTACTTCCCAAACGCTAGGAATTTTCTAAGAGTGTAACAGCCAGACATTTTCTCTCGGAACATCGGCAATCCTACGCACGAGGCCGACCGCTGGGGGGTACTCGTCCAGACTCGAATCCGATGAGACGGACCAGGGGCGCCAGTGCACGCCCTTCGTTCCGGCCGTCTCGCACACTCGGTCGACGATCCTTCCGTGAAGGAGATAAATCACCTTCATAATGCATCTCCTTCACTGATAAAGAGGCTGACGCACCCCGCAAGATGTATTAAAAACGCTCTCTATAGAACAGAGATGTAAGGTGTCACGATGGAATGAAGTTGAAAATATTGGGTTTGTTCCTCCGACCCCCGGACCAACCGTATCTGGAGTCTCCTTCTACCGAGTACCGTTCTTGAACGGGTCCATCCAGGATTTGCAAAGCCTTCCCTTAAGTTGTACGTGGGAATGAATTGACCATTTTAGGAAAAATTACGGGGGACCCATTCCACCAGTTTTCGCGTGAAAATCGCTGAATCGGCGGCTAGGCGCCATCTCGCACCGATTGTTTGAGTTACGCCAGTTCTTTAGGAAAAAATACAGAGAAGTTCCATTTTCCTACATTACCCAACAAGTCCACTATTGTGATGATAACTTTCCCAGCACTTTCGTCCAGACTCGAATCCGGCGAGACCAGGCCAGTGCACGCCCACCGTTCCGGCCGTCTCGCACGCTCGGTCGACGATCCTTCCCGAGAGATTTGTCGATACGGTTAGCCAATGGTGCCCGCGTCCTGGTTAATCTCGTTAACGAGATTTCAATCTAACCGCACGCACACACTTCTGAGAGCATGCCGACTCAGTGTGCGCCGTATTCGTCTCCACCTTGCAGTTGTGGTGCGACGCCGCTTCGAGTGCGTCGCATGGCTTTCACTTGATGGTAGGAGGAATGCATCTTTCTCTACCACTTGCACATCTCGAAGGAATCGAAACGAAGCAACGTTGACCGCTTTTGCTGCCGTCGCTTCCCATACAGGAACTCTCCCGCCAAGAGGCGCCCGCGGCCATTACTTTCTTGGCATCGAGACCGGTGCGTGCGCGCAGACCTCTGCCCTGTATATATTTTTCCTGGCGATATTCAGAATACGTTTAAAGTTTCCTAAAATAATCGGCCCATCAGATACTTCTATGCGGTTGATTTAATTTTCCAGAGCTGTGAGATTCGCTAAAGCTAGAAAATCGTTCAGAAACGTCTGGAAATAAAAATGCTTGCCCTGAGCGAATGACCTCAAGAGTAGCAATTTCCTTGAAATTAACTTTCCTGTGAACTATGTGTCCACAGAATTACATATTTCTTGATGCAGCTGTTTCACAGTGAGAAGGATAATGCCTCCATAGACATTTGCCCACCGGCAATGAATCTCGAAAGTATGATCTTTCGCTGATATGTATATAGTAAAGGGAATCTATATACAGTGCTTTAGCTTCTCTCCACCCGTTTCATGGAAACGAAAAATTCATGGAAATAATTTTCTACTCACAAAAACTCTCCCTGCAGTCATAACCTTGGAAAGTAATAATTTCCTTTTAATCAGTACCTAAAAGAGCACAGGATCTCCAAATTTCGCATTTCTACATTCGTAAGTTTCTAAGAAGCGAAAACGTGCCATAGGGCAATGAATCTCAAAATAATTAATTTAACGGAATCACTATCACGAAATCGACCTAGGTACTAAATTTTCTCTTTCCCTATTTCTTTTGTTCAGAACGTCCTAGAAATTCCTTCCTTCCACCCCCCTCCCCCCGCCCTCGGAAATAAAGATTTGCCCAGAGGGCTGTCGCTTAATTGTAGAATTTTTCCTGAATTCAACCTAAGAACTGCATATGTGTGGCAAGTTTTAGATTTCTATATAAGCCTTATACATTGGAAGGGAGAAAATCTCTTGAAAATGTCTTCCTGTAAAAAGAAACTAATCCCCAAGCGAATTTTCCTTCAAATTAAATATTTCCCTAAAATTTACATCTCAGCATGTACCGTCACATGAAATTCGCTAACTTTGTCTCTCCGTTTCCCTAAAACGGCGAAAATGAAGTGGAAAACCTCCGTTGAAAAAAGTGTGCCCTCTGGGCCATAATTTCAAATTCGTGTTTTTCTTTGGGTCGGTAACTTATCTTTGATTTGTGTACAAATGGCCATCTTTCCTTTTTACAGGATTTCCTTGGGGAAAAAAACAATTCTTCCAAAACGTTTCCTCCCCCCCCCCCCCCGCCCAATGAAAATATCATCCCAGGGGATGTATCTAAGAAAATTACTTCCCTGAAATTGGCATCTCAAGTTCATAGCAAGTTTGAGGTTGTATGTCTCCCCATTTAAACGAAACAAAAAACTTCTTCGAGAACATCCCAGTGTGCTCCCAGGGCATGTATATATCACCGATTTGGCTATGAAGTAGTGCGAATATCATTTTGCAACTAATTTTTTTTTCTTTTCTTCAGCCGTGGAAGGATGGATTGGTGCAGGCCCGCTAGGCCGAGATGAACGACGTCTATTTTCATTTTTCATAGGGAAAAATTGCATCGCAAGCATCACAAAAAGGGCACTATTCCTGATGTCAATAGGACGGGATGACCTTGCCTTACTCAGCCAAGGTGCAGCAGAGAGCGTCCGGGTCCTGACAAGTTTGGTTGGTGTTCACGCTTCCCACTTCACAAGACTTCGAGGAAGAGGCTGAAATACAGTCTTGTTCGCAAGCGGTCGAAAGGATGCCGTGGTTTCCGATCACGGCATCTACAGAACCCTGATAATTTGGGACACCTGGATGACCCTCATGATTTCGGACACCTGGATGACCCTCATGATCTTGATGGCTATTATCATCTTGTTCGTCATGCTCATTTGCAGCCGGGCTGGCTACCCCGGTTTTGAGGTCTCTTTGATCTTCTCCGTGATAGGTGCACAGACCCATTCCGTTGCACACATGACCCCTGGGGCAGCTGGAGCAGGGGGACCCAGTACTGTAAACCTGTTGCCCTATCAGGTTCCCTCTGAGATGAGAGAAGAAAATAATTAGTCCTAATCTAAACTCAGACGGGTCTGATATAAAGCGACTGAGCTTACGCGGGACCGTAGTTGCAGACGTAGAGCTTTAGGTAGTCGCTGCCGTCTCGAAAAGAGGCAAAACCACAGCCGACCTTGTAGGACTTTCCCCATACCATCTGTGTGTATGTACTCCATTCGCTCCCCGCCTTGTAGGAAGGCACGTCCTCCTGCGGGAATAGCTGTGCCATGCTGAACCAAGCATACAATGGTAATCGCCAGTCAGCGTTAGGATCCTCCTGGAACTTGCTCTTGCTGAAGAACAGATTCTGACCCACCGAGAACCTCGCTGCAAGTGAAAGTAGTTTCAGTCATTTGGCATAATTCTATCCATGATGAATTTGATCTGTTTCTGCTCTTCAGGATGATTCTCACCAACTCGTCTGCATTGGTTACAGTCGTTCTCGAAGCGGCATTGATCCGCCCATTTCTGGGCAATGAAGGCTAATTCATCATCCCAACTCTATGAATGAGAAATTGATTATTGATGTACGAGACACAAAAAATAATCATTAAAATCAATTTATTTGGAACATTGGTGTACTCAGTGAAAGCAATCATTTTCGCGTTCTCCCAAGATAAAAAAAAAATTTATTTCGAAGACATTGACAGAGAGCGGCTACTCCATTAACAATGGCAAAGACCGAAAAAAAACCGGAGATTTTCTCAAATACAACTGTCAAAAATGAATTACATTAGAGGAAACCGCCACTTGCACGGGAGAGTCCATGAGTACTGTAGCAATACTGATGGAATTTCTTTCCTACTAAGAAAGTTCAAAGTTCTTTGGAGAAATTGGATTTGCTTCCGACTCAATCTTATTATTCCTGTCTAGGTTTAACAGCTAATTTAATTTGGCCTGTGTTTGTGATCACCTGACATGAACCTATGTCAATGGGTTTAGTTTGTTTGCATTTTTCTTGTGAAATTTGCAAACTCAAATGAACAAAGATGAGCTCATGAGTCTGGTAATACGGAAGAAAATTACCATTTCAAGCATGGCAGAGGACTGGAGTTGTAGGGCTTTGTAGGGATTTTGTCCGTTAGCCACCTTGGTCCTCAGTTCATTGTGAAGGTTCACTATGAAGCCCTTCTCGAAAGAACTAACCCCCCGTGCCACCTTCGGGCACTCGGAATCCTCCGGGAGACACCCCGTATGATTCTGCGCATATTGGGAGTAGCAACCGCCTTCGACGAACGTGTCGGCGAAAACCTTGTGAATCCCCTTGTGCACCTCGATGAGCTCCTCCTGGGTGAGTCCCAGGTTGTCGATCACGTCGTGGACGCCGTAGTGAATTGTGTTGAAGAACTCCTGGCTCGGCTGAAGTCCCGCCTCGCCGATTTCCTTCGAGTATTCCACATCGAATAGGTGATGGATCCGGTCGTGCAGCTGAGCCTGCTTCTCCTCCTCTATCGGGAGGTTGTCGAGCACTTCGTGGAGCTCATGGTGGATCGTGTCGAAGAGGGGGAGAGGGTTGCACCTTGCCGCCATCAACGCACAGAGACCGAAGACGGTCATGGAGACCGTCTGGATCCTTCGGGACACCATATCTACATCGCCATTGATGATGAAAAATGGAATAATGACAAGGCAATAACATTTAAAAAATAAGGAAACAAATTTGAGAAAATGACTTCCAATTCTTCATTTTGTCGATGATAGTCACTGTGCATCCTCTACAAACAGAAAGAAACCCCTGAGTTTAAAGAAATTCTGGAAATGACCTCATATGACTCGAGACAAGCACGAACACCTTCATCGGACAAATTAGTGGAAAATTGAATTAAAACGAAATCCGCAGCGGTTACTTCCAACAAGATGACGAGCATAGTTGCCGTTTTCATTGCGCTGCTGGATGATGTTTTCGGCGACTGAATGGTAACCAATGCCCTTTGGTCTCGCCGGTCTCCATATTTTGCTCTCCTATATTATTTTTTGTGGGGAGCGATGAGAGGAGACTTTTACAGAAATAACGCCCCCGGTAACACAGAGTTGAAGGATTAATCAGAGACATCAGCTAAATTACAACCGATGTGTTGGCGAGAGACTATAGAAACAATTTTCAATTTCATCATGTTTATGTGTTCATGGATGTCTGGCAATTTTTATAACTAGCAGGTACGCACGATTCTGTTCGTACCAGGTGCATAGTGACTGTTAGAGGCCCTGTAATACAGAGTACATCCAAAGATATATTTCGCGTGCTATGTTGCGCGAAAATGTGTTGCACTCTCCCTGCACATTACTCAGCTGATCGCAGCTTTTCTCAGTACAAGCTCACATATCTCAGGCAAAACTCTGCTTCGTCTCGTGTTGAAGATCCAGAATTCATTATCGACACGGCACACGTCCCACCGATTTTTACACTCGCGCCTCAAAAAGGCTTTGTCAGTAACACTTTTTTCATGCCTCGAGGAGCACAAAACCGACGAAGGCCACGACCGAGAGACCAGCACGATCGGAGACCTTGCAGGCCCTTCGAAACGGCGGGAGTGGAAGCTGGACGCGGCGGCCTTGACCGTCCCGCGGCGACCTTGACCATCCCACCGACCACATTCCTATTGTTCCGATGCGACACGAAGAAGTCTTTTGGATACAAGCGGGCATGAATCACTCTTGACATTCAGTCTTCCCCTTTTCCCATGACAAAATTTTGCATCGAATGGGCACGACCCGACATTACAATTAAGCGAACCTTCCTCGAAGCGTTTACCGTGTAATCATTCACGATTGTTTTTGTCTTTCTGGGGTCATAAGTGCTGGCTAATGAATGACCAGGTCCGATGGCGGTGACAGTTATTGCGATGCAATGAGAGACTATTTGTGTCGCGCTAATTTTCTCTGTGATATACATCCTCAGACAATTATCTCGCCGTCTGCAAAATCAAGCGTGAATCTTGATTATGGATTCGTGGCAAAATGAAAAACGAGACGTCATCTAATTAATATGGAAATACCCTGAAAAGCAAGACGCGATTGGAAGGACCATTTCATCATAAAATTGGATATGGTTGCTGGAAGCATTTGCCACTCGCGCGAGATGCAGCTGGTCGGATGGTATTGCTTAATCCTTATCCCTATCCTTAATCCTATGAATACGAAAAGAATAACACCTCGTGCTCGTTGGACTCCACCACGATACGCTGACTTCAGTCCATGGCAAAATGCATTTCCTCGCTGTTTTTTTTGACCGAACAAAAGCTTTCGACAAGGTCTGCCATGCAGGGCTAATCTTTAAACTTTTATCTTGCTTTAATATCCCCCTGCAGCTCTTGCAATGAATCGCCTCCTATCTGACACAGAGATCGTTCAGGGTCAGGGTCGGGAATTGTTTTTTTCCGAGATTCGCTCCCCTACAGCTGAAGTTTCTTGGGGCCCCGTATTTCCACTTATTTTCATTCTCTATGTCGACGACCTTTCCGATTCTATTCCTCATGAGGTTAACGTTCGTACGAGCCAATACGCGGACGACACTGCCCTCTCAGCAGAGTGGTCAGTGCCCTCGAGTCGTGGGCCCAAACTCCACTTAATTCCCTTTCTCAGTTCTGCACTGGCACATTAGTATGAACTAGCCGACCCGTGGAAGATTTCCACGAACTCTTCGGCAAGAAATCCCGAGTTCATTCGGCTGCCCTAAAACTCAATGGCCCTCTCATCGCTATAAACAGCAGCCCCTCTAATTTCCTATTCTTTACGTTTCCCCACGTACAACCCTTGGAAGTCCTCTTTCATCCTGCTGAAAGGAGGATCACTTTCTCGCCGGGGTGCGATCTTCACCCTTCCATTTATCGGCACTTTTTCCTATTGACCACTACTTTGTCCGTAAAGACCATATCCATCACTTTGCGTGCAAGCCTACGAGTGAAGTATACGGAAATGGATACGGGTTGGTAACGAACCAACCGGCGGCATCCTTACGATTCCAGAATAAGCCATCCAGTTCTGTCCCACCCTGATAGGATCCCGCCGCTTTCACCCTCTGGAGTGACTCTCCTTCGTACCGAGGAAAACGGGACTCCCAAGTGTTGTGTCTGGGTTTTCCCGCGGGAAAGCTCATGTCGAAATGCGAACATCCCTTATTTATGGGAAGGGGGGGGGGGGGGGTGTGCAAGTCGTGCAATGACTCTCCTATTCTCAAGAACGGATCCGACTGTTGCGAAGGCCGAAGAGAAAGTGCGAGCGTGAGACGGGCGGAGACATCCACGGATGTCTTCCACGAACCGTTTCTCGGGAATTCCCAAGCTCAGTCAGCAGCCCTGAAACTCAGCGGCCCTCTCAACGACATAAAGCAACAGCATCTCCATCCTGTTCTCAAGAATGATCCGTGGAAGACTTCTACGAACTTCGGGTCGGTCTCGGCCATGGGTGTCAAACTGCCGGCCGACCGTTCGATTTCGTCCGGCCTGCAAAGTCCTCTTCAACAGATGGTTCTGAAAAAGCGTAGGCCATTTCAACCTGTTAGCGATTGAAACTTTGATGCAAGATGTGCGAATGTGGGCCCAACCACTCCTGAAAGGTTCCATCCGACCACCATCTCGGTCGAGGTTCATATCTCTGGCCTAGGCTAAGCGCGTAACGGTCAGGGTCGCCAAAATGCATCGTGAGACCTGGGGCAATATTGACGTAAGGGTCCCCTTTCCACTCTTCCCCATCCCTGCCGCTTCAAACACTCACTATGGTTTATTAGAGTTCAAACACACTTAGTATCAGATACATACTTTATCCGGTGTGGCTGGTCCTCTCCCAGGCAAGAGACACGGGCATAGGCTAAGCGTGTAGCATTTTCGGATATTCACGAGTTCATTGCGCAGTAGCCGCCGGTTTGGGCCAATTGCCCAGATGCAGTAATCAATTGATTCGGAGGCAATTCTAAGGAATTAAGGAGGCAATTGCTCCTTAATTCCCTAGAACGGATCGAACGAGCTGCAATTAAACTACGCCTTCCTCCTTCCCTCTTTCTATCCTAATCCTTACATCCGTAGAATCTGCGGACTCATCCACTTCTCTCAGTTCACCTCTCGGCTTACCTATAGCTATTATAATGACCCTTAAGGGCCTGGGGTATCCAGGAGATTCCTGTAAAATTAAATGAGAAGTTTATTATTGGGCGCTTTAAGCACACTAAATCCTATCAATTTAATAAAATCATGTAACGCCTCGGAAAGGACTCCAATTAGCACAGCACTTGATTTTCCTATTCTTCGACCACCCTGATCTTTGATCGATCCCGCGTCCAGCGCTTTTCTTTTCGGCCGCGCGGGAATCAACGAGGAACTCCTTGCCTGCTGCTCATCAGGAATGCCCGGAAGGAAATGCCGGGCTCCGTTATGCCACACGCAAGGTCTCATCTCGAGGACTGTCGTCTTCTCTCTCTTTCGCCTTCGCTCTCTTCTGCTTTCTTCTTCTCTCCGTGCTTTCTCCTCTCTCAATGGAAAAAAGAAGATACTTCCGCCTTTTTATTCTCACTTTAACAGTCGTATTCTCTCGCCTTCATACTCCAGTTCAAGAATGCATAATCTCAAAAAAAAACTAACCATAGCCATATCTCCTTTCCTCAGCCGTCTGATATGGCACCTCCGGCCAGCTGGCACCTGGAAAAAAAATTTCCTTCCAGTGGGCCCTGTCCCTAAACTGATTTCAGATAGACTGTAAACATTATGACGAAATTAAAAACGTGTTTACCAGGAATAAAATCACGAGAACATAAGGTACTTATATATTCCATCTCCTTTCGATTCATGCAGACCCAGAGCTAAAAAAAAATGCCCCGGAACTAATACAACAAACTCAAGTTGTTTTTCATTGAAAGATGGAATGTGCGGTCTTTCAATCTAATATATATAGACGATCTTGACTGACTGACGCTAATTCTATGTTCTAGAGAAGTTAGAAATCTGAAACTTGGTACACAAGTAGCTATTGGGATGCAGAGTTCAGTTAAAAAAAAAAAAACTTTGGCGGTACATGCCCTAGGGGGGGGGAGGGGACTGATTTTGATAGCTTAGCCCCCCCATAAACGGAGGTTTAGGCCTACGCCATTCTCATACATATCACACCTTCCTTCCTCTTGTCGTTGAAGTGTAACAGCTAGGTTGTTCACTTAGGAGGAATTCTGACTTCGAGAGGGGGTGGGGTTACATGCCCTGGGGGCAATTTTCAAGGGGGGCTAATTTCGCAGGCCTAGGCCTAACCCATGGATGGACGCTTAGGCCAATACCATTCTCATGCACACTTTTCTAAGGAAACGGAATGGAAAACAAGCAGCTGTTGGCTTGCAAACTACAGATAACAGTTGGACGTGGGAGATACGTGCCCTGAAGGGACTGATTCAGCAGTCCCATATATATACACTTTGGACGGATGCTCAGGCCTAGATCGATCTCGACCCAATGGCATCGAGGAACTTTTCGTCCTATCTGAACGGAAAACTTGCTGTCTTAGCATGCGGCGGGTGGTCTTTGTCATATGCCTTTCTAGGTCATAGGTTAGGTAGAAGTACTTGGGTTTATGGGTACCGGTATGTTTGTGCATGCGAATTGGTTTCACATTTTTTGTAGCAGGGAAACGGCGAGGAAGATTTTCCTTCGACTTTCCGATTTAGAGTGGATATGTCCAATGCAGGACGTTTAGACCAAGGCCATTTATAAGCTCATACATCAACTAAGCTGGAACG